CGATGGATTCAGCTTTAGGAACGGGACAACTAGGATGGAGGTCCCAGGACTGCGTCCCTTGTAGAGCGGTACAGAAAAGCTGTCAGGGTGCCGTGATCATCACACAGCATCTGGGTTCACAGCTGAGTTCCTGAGAGGATGCTCTTTGACGAAGCTGGAAATGGAACTGGGGAGGGCAGCTGCTTTCATGGTTGCAGTGCGGGATGGAGGTCTCTGCAGAGACAGCGGAAGTGAGCACTTGAGTATACAGAGTGTGGTTCCCAGACCAGATCGGCAGTGCCAGGGCCCCCCGGGGAGATGCGCATTCCTACGTCCACCCTGTACTACTGAGTCAGCACTATGATTTTAGCAGGTGACCTGTGTATAGATTACAATATGAGAAAAACAAGCTTGGTCTTAGTCTGATGACTGTCGCGAGTCAGGGAGGGATGACCTGAGGTGTCATGAAGTGTGTGTTCTGAACAGCCCACCTTTAAAGTGGGGGTAGGACTAACACATCAGTATCTATACCTTGTGAAGACAGAATTCAAATACATAAAACATGTAAATCCCCAGATGCCTGAGACATGTCAAACTTGAAATCACGAACTTCACCCGGTAATGATTCTTTAATTTTGACTTCTGGACAATGAAGAGTTGTTTTATTTTTTTTTTTTTTTTTTTTTTTTTTTTTTTTTTTTAACAGCTGAAGTGATGAGGGGTCCCTTCACCTCAGCTTCATTTCAGATACACTGATGTGCTGGGGTGTAAGTAATTCCCCCAAACTTGCATCGAGTAAAAGCCCTCAAGGAGACAATTCAATTTCCAAATGTAAATTCCAGCCACATGTAGAGGGAACAGTATTGCTCCCATCCCCTGGTGAGCAATGAGGCTTCCTCCAAACGTGATTGCCTCTGACATCGCTGCCGTTCTCTGGAAGTGGCTTTTCGATGTTAAAAAGAGGCTGCTTCTGCTGGGAAAGGATTTGCTTGCGGAAAGTTGAAAGTTTACGCTTGTTATGCATGGGTTTGAGGGGAGAAAGACAGAAATGATGAGGGGAGACATGAATGTTCAATGTCATATGGTCCGGAACGGCTTTCCCCTCCTCCCCTTAGCCTTAATTATGATCTGTGTGAGGCTTCTCACCACAGCCTAGCAGGAAGCCTGCGCCCACTGAGGTCGCCTCTCTGCAGGTTCCTCACCTCCAAGCAGCTGCTGATCCCAGTGAGGGAGGGTGCCCTCCCTCATGGGCTGAACTTCTAAGGTGAAAAACTGGATCTCAGTTAGAATAGCAAATTCAAATTTTAGATATTTTTTGCTATGACAGCAAATATTTCGGTGGCCAGTTATGATGTTTCTGATGGGTAAAAATGAGCATCAAACTCATTCTATCCAGTAAATAGTACAGAATTTATATCTGGCAATATTGGTATTTAAGGACACATCAGCAGGAAACCTTTTAGTAGCAAAAAACTAAAGTGAGTGATAGTTATTATTTTTAATTGGTGTGTCGTTTGGAAGGTATGTTTGTGTATGTGTGTGTGTGTGTGTATCCATGCCTGTGGAGGTCAGAGGTCAAGTTCAGGTCTCATTCCTCAAGGGCTCCTCCTTGTATTTTGAGATATGGTCTCTCAGTAGGACCTGGGGTTCACTGATGGCTAGGCTAGCTGACCAGCTAGTCCCCAAGGTCCTCCAATGTCTGTTTCCTAAATGCCAGGATTACAGTTATGCATCATCACGCTCGGCTTCTTGCAAATGTTCTGGAGATTAAACTCGGGTCTCCAGTTTGCAAGGCAGGCCCTTTGCTTGCTGAGCTATTTCTTCAGCCCTAGTAGAATGTCTAGATGATAAACCAAGTTGCTAGAGCCCCAACTCTACCAAAGTCTAAACATGATACTTTCCCTGGGTTTGCCACAGTCCCATTCATGTGACGGTTCCCCACGACGTCCAGTCATGGTTCCGAAACACCTGCCAGTTACACTCTGAAGGACCTTGGGCAATGCAAAGGGGGCCGTGCAGGACTCTCCTGATAGTCTGGGAGGGGATCCACCAGCGGTGGTCTGTCTTTTGAGACCACTGGATTCTGATGCTGGTTAAACAAAACACCCATTTGTGCGGTGGGTTGAGCTAGATTATCTTCCAAACTCCAGTGTTACCAAGTAACATTTGGTCGTATTTGTAAAAGCCAGGGAAAGATACACTTTCTAGATCTGTGTTTCTGCTGGAAGTGGCACCTGTGAGCCTGCAAGGAATGCTGGGGGTTGGCATACAGGGTTCTACCTACATCAGGTGCTTTTGAGTGGGACATCCTGTATCCCTTCCGTATTTCTCTACCTTCCAGTGAGCAAAGGAACTGCTGATAGCAATCACTCTGACCTTGACTGCTTTGTGTGTTTAGAGGGTGGGTACCATTTCAGTAGGCAATGTCACCAGACTCTCTTCTGAGCCCTTAGCACAGATTTGTCTTTTGTACTGGATGCTGCCACCCAGCAGCAGGGTATGTTCTAATTATTATTTTAATTTTGTGTTGGCAGAAAGACACTTTGAGGGAAGCACTTCCTTTGGGGGGCTATTCAGATCTCCAGACTTCTGGCTCAGGGCTTCTCAGCACACATGAAGAACATATTGGTTTTCCCCCAAACCGTCCTCTGTACGGCACTTACCCTACTGCTTGCGGGACCCATGCTACGTTTCATCCGCTCATCTGTGCCTCCTGGGATGAGGGACCTGCACAGAAGGGAAAGTCTACAAAGGGCAAAGCCAGCATATCCAAACAAACATTGCCTGGTACTTACGCCAGGCATGCCTCACTAGCTGTAGGATCAAAGTGAAGAATTAAACAGAAGCTTCAGGCTTACATAATCAAAATATGCACCTTACTTCTCTCTCTCTCTCTCTCTCTCTCTCTCTCTCTCTCTCTCTCTCTCTCTCTCTCTCTCCATATCAGGTCTTTAGTACAAGAACTTCTTGAACTGACATATACTGGTAAGACATTGTTTTGCATTGGGTATTATGGGTTTTCAGGGGGCAGGGATGGCAGCAATCTCTCCTGGACTGCTCACGGTAACAGTAGCAAGGTTCTCACAGTGAACATTCCTCCTTCTGAGTTGATACAGTGTGGCGTTAAAAGGCTACAAGAAACAGAAGTTCAAGTTCACAGCAGGGCTGCGCTGTTGAAGCTCCAGCCCTGCACTCTGACTTCTGTGCTGTGATCTTAAATGCGAGATTCTAGGTCATTGGGAGAGAATTAGTTGCAGAAGCTGTCCTAATAAAGCCCAAAACAGGCCAAAAAGTCCCCAAACAAAACAACAAAACAAAACCCCAAACTGAAAAACAGTTCGCATATACACTTTTAAATGAATAGTATAAGTAACAAAATATTTTTAAGATTATGGGAAATAAAGGTAAGTATAAATTCATTGGATCAGACCATTTTGCATTGAGCAGCCCATAAAATTTGTAGAACTCAGGAAATTAACATTCCAAGTGCACAGTCCTAGGTCTTATCAAATTTATTCTGAAAGCTGCGCGTTGCTGGTCTGACCTTATGGGATCTGAAATATGGTATTTACCCCATGTGAACATGTGTCAGAGTCATCAGGGAAAGTATTCTGGGCCTTGAGGAAAGCTCAATTTTCAAGGGAACCTTGACTGTAAATTTACACAGCCTGTGAGTTCCACAAGGGGTTAAGACATTACAGGTACAAGTCAGGTGGCTATTATAAATGTTACCCAAATAAAAGCCCAAAACAGGAAGCCAAGAAGCAGGTCCCCAAGGCAGGCAGTGTCTTAAATGATATCATCTGTCAAGTTTCCAGCATCTTGTGGTGGGGGCACAAAAAGGGTTTTGTGGTACTGGGACATTATAGCCTCATTAGCCACAGCATCCCTCCACACACAGCTCAGGGTTTCCACTTTAATAGGCTGCAGCTACTTCTCACACACTTGCGTTAGATGAATACTGCAGGAAACACTAACGGCCATCGGCAGAGGCTCTATTCCTTTCCTAAGAAACTCCATTCTGGTGCAGTCAGACAGTAACAACACATAGAGCCCATCTTTCTTTGCAAACCAGTTCCTGGATTTTGTGTGTGTGTGCACGCACACACTAAAATTAATCAGCATCTGCAGTCATTGTGAAAAGAACCAGAAATTATATTGTCTATTGTGCTTTTGTGCATTCGAAACAGGTTTGAAGGTTTGAAGGGATAGAAGTTGACTTTCCAGAAGTCCTGAACCAAACATTAAGGCGTCCTACAGATGTCTTTCTCAGGAGGCAATGCCTTCTTCCTTGCTGGGCCAACAACCAGGAACTGAGAATTCATTTATCCCACATCACTGCTCTGCCCTCGTCCCTTCCCTAGAGCACAGCTGACGATGGCCCTGTACTATGAATGCACTTTTTGTGATCTGAACATGGTAGAGTGTGGACCCTTACGCTCTCTCCCCTCTTGTTAGTGACTGGACCCCAACAACAACCCAAGGGGACCAAACTGATATTCAAGTATAACCACAGATTTAAAAATAATTTTTCAAAAGAATTTAAAAAAAACTTTTAAACATATTTTAGGGATTATTGGGACAGGCAGAATCATCCCTGCTTGTTTTCTAAGAATATATGAAAACAGCATGCATCATAGTTTCTCTGTTTGGGGACAGAAAGACATGAGGTTTCTTCTGTTTGTTTTTTATTTTTTAATGTTGTCTTATTTTAAACCTGGGTGTTTGAATTTTACTTTTACATTGCTGAATTTAGTATATTCCCTCAAAACATAATACATTTCTATTCTATAGCTTTCGGGATCCATCAGATAAAATGTTGGTCTTTCATCTTTATTACCCTCCCATTAAAATGAAGGAAACCGGGACTCACTTCAGTTCAGAAGAGGCAATTTAGTTGGTAATGTCCTCAGTCCTTAAGCCTTTTCAGAGAGAGAGTGCATTATCACCGAGATTTCACACATCTATCTGCATAGGAAGCAACTGGGCCTTTCAGACATATACTAGGTTAAATTTAGTAATAGTCTTTGATTAGATTATTTTATTACGACGTTTTTCCATTACCAGTCATTTCCTGAGCACGCTAACATTCACAGAGCCTGCCCTCCCTCCCCGCCTGTTATGTTTGTGTCCGGGAGAGCCAGCAGAGTCTCCCCTGCTACAGTGGCCGGGTCTGAAAGGGACAGATTAATAACTGCGCAGCACATCGGACGCGCCTGCGTCTCACGTCCCCTGCACCGGCAGCCTTCTGCGATGACGAGGACACAAAGAGCCTCGCGTCAGGCTGCTACCCCTCTTCATAACTCAGAGGCGTCACAGTGGCAATAGCCTCTGGTGCGATTTGTCTTCAGTGCGGTTGTGACGCTGCGGCATGACCGTAATTTGGCAGCTATTTACCGTGACATTTCCCTTCAGTGCGGCCATAACATTCAGTGAAGCCATTATTTGGTTCCATTTACCATATAAATTGTATTGTTGTGCATGCATGCTAGCAGCTACATTAGGTACCTGGGAATGAGTAAATCTTGTAAAATAGATACTAACAGCTACTCAGAAACAGGATCTCTTTGCTCCTCAGATGCCAGCCAAGAATTCAATCTTGCCCCCAACGTTCACAGAGCTCTCTTAATTGCAGTCCCGTTGATTAAGCCCGTTTGATGTACTGAAACCCAGGTCTTAGAATCATCCGACAGGCTTCACCTTCAAACGGTAAGGCACTTTGGGGTTTTGATCCCACCACAAAAGTGGCAGGCAGCCCTTGGACACGGAAGGTGAAGGGCACGCAGACCAGCTCTGGTGCAGTTTGAAGAGAAGCGGCTCGCAGGCTGGCAGACAGGACTGCACCAGGACACAACCCTAGAGCAGGTGGCTCCTTTCTCTCTGACGCCGAGTTGGAACGCAGGACACCTGCCTGCCATTCAGCTTCCACCACCCGACATCAAGCCTTCCATACCACGCCTTTGAGGGGAAGCAAACGGTTTTGATTTTGGAATTAGTCTCCCGTGTTTGGAACGATGTGACATCTACTCTTTGGGGACAGGAAGTAGCTGTTTTTAACCTTGACCATGCTAGAGTGAGCCCCCTTCTGTGGTCCCTGAGATTACAGGACGAGAGCTTTCCTGGGGAGGTGGCATAGAATCTTCCTTCCTTTGCACACATTAGTTCTCCCGAAGTCCCCCAAACCATAGCTTGCTTTCCCAAACCCACTCTGTCCCTAATAGTATTTCTTTCTAGAACAGGAACATTTTCTTCACAATCTTAAAAGGCTGTGAATTCGAGCCACCAACGAGTCGATCCATCATTCTCCTCCCAATAACGAAACAGGATCAAATGTGGACAGTTCTCCCCCAAACGTCTCCTGAGATCCTTGGGGCTCCTTGCTAAGCATATGGACTGTGAGCATACCTGACCCCGGCACTACCTGGTCACCTGGGAAGTACTTATTAACACAAAGAGCAGCCTCTTCCAGCAAAGGAGACTCGGTGAGCGGTTTGAAGACCGACTTAAAAATCTCATCAAGCTGGGGACATACTGACTCGATCAGGTCTCGCATCAGGAATTAATTTAGTTCCCTGGAACAATAAAACCTGGACTGAGACTGTCCACGACTAAAGAATCGAATGTAAACGTTTTACCTCTTAGCTATAGAGAGAACTTTTATTGAAGCGTATTATTTTTACCCCCAAGGAAAGGGGGGGGGGAGTTGAATTCATTAACACTACATTTGTGTTCGTTCTAAGGCATGGAGAACTCTTTTTCTTTCTCCTTTGGTCTCCGTCATTGTTCCGTTGTCATAGTTTACTGCTGACACTGTGAGGTATTTCAACCACAAGTTTTCCAATATTCTTCCCGGTGTACATATAGTCAACAGCCCGGAATATGGAGTCCAGGCCGATGAACCTTCCCCCTGGAGCTAGGTGTCCCAGGTCCACCTCACAGACCAGCTCCCCACGACTGTGCAGCTCCAGCAAGTGTTCCATGGCGGCCTGGTACTTGGATAAATAGTGGTTCAGAAAGAACCCCTGGAGTCTGGCAGACTTCCTCAGGAGCTTCACAGGTAGAGCTCCTGCCTTCACTGGTGAAAGCCCCGTAGGGCTTTGGTAGCCAGAGATGAACCCAATCACCATCAAACGCCCTTTGAGGGCTAAGGCATCCACTGCCAGGTCAAACATGGCTCCCCCAACAGACTCATAGACTACATCGACACCTTCAGGGTATTCCTGCTTCAGAACTGTCGCCACCGGCTCTGCTTTGTAGTTGATGGGGCGATCACACCCAATGGATTTCAGAAAAGCTAACTTTTCCTCCGAGGAGCAGGTTCCAATGACATGACACTTGGCTATCTTTGAAAGTTGTACAGCAAACTGGCCTGTCCCCCCGGCGGCTGCTGTAACCAAAACCTTCTTCCCTTCTGACAGCTCTCCAAGTTCTTTCAGGCTAATGTATGCAGTGGTGCCACTAACCAGCAGAGTGAGATACTCGGGTTTTACTGAAGGCACCGGTGTGGCAATGCTGGCTGGCACCACTGTATACTCAGCAAAAGAACCAGGAGCCATATAAGCCACAGCCTGGCCCACTGAGTACTTAGCACTAGCAGAGAGGCCTAAGGCTACCACCTCACCAATCCCTTCAAAACCTATGTCAAAGGGGGGCTTCACGGAGGGGTCATAGCGGCCAGCAGAATAGTTGATGTCGGATGCGTTAATACCAACGAATCTAGGAGAAAACAAACAGATGTATCAAGATTCTTTCTTTGTTAAAGACCTTCATAGTCTGCTTAGGGGGAAAGACCTTTCCAACCCCAGGGAGTGTGAAAGGGTTCCTAAACTATGGGACTTGACAGAATTCAGGAGAATAATAATTCCTGCTGCTCAGCTGGAAAAAAAAAGAATTTGGACATGTATTAACTTGAGTTTGGGTTGATTTTATTCTTTAATAGTTTTATGAAAAATAATTTCATATTAATTTAATCAGCAAGGGATGTATCTGTATTTCCTGTGTAGTTTACTTCTGTCCCCACTCAAAAGGCAAAACAAGAAAGAAAGAAATAAAAATAAAAATCCAGGAAGTCCTCACCATACACAAAGTTCACTAGAGCTCTGAGCTGGAAATTAATTGGTCTCTTAACAGAGATGTTAAAAAAAACAACAGTAGGATAAAATATTCGCAAAGAAGCCCACTCGTATTGATTCTGGCAACAATTTAACACTTTAGGTAATAATAATAATGACAATGATATTATTAAAGATTGATGAACATGCAAGGTCATTCCTGTGACATGTTACTGCCCTGGTGGTTTGAAACGCCGAAGCAAATTTTCTCTCTGATGTAACCATGCCCAGCATGAGCATATACATTTTGATTAATTGAACATATACATTTTGATTAATTGAACAGAAACGGGGGAGAAAGATTTTATGCAGCAATCGGCATTTTATAGCCTTTCCAGATGAAAAGGGAAGCAAGCCCTCACTGTATTTTCCTCAACAAAAAGCAGAGACGCAGCCTGATTAATAGCAGATGACTGGTTTCGTTTTTGTATCCAGGCTCACGTTTAGCCGTGAGGCCAGCATTTTACCAGCTTTTCTCGGTGCCCCCCTATACCTCACAGCAAAAACATCCCCACGGGGGCAGCGACCCCATCTTCTGAGAACTCAAGCGAGAACTGGAACACACGAGGACCCCCAAATTGCCATTTCCTCCCGTAAGAAAGCGAAAAAAAAAATGGCAGGAGAAAAATGAAAAGAATTCTCTTTTAATTTATGAACCCAACTGTCCTGTGTAGGGGCACACTCTCACTATTCTCTACACAATGCCCTGGACTTCCAAACTCACAATATTCTCCCTTAAAGAAAGATCTTTCTAGACTGTGGAAATAAGAAAGTTGGAAACAGTTTCTTCCACCAAGGTACTCTCTGCAGTCAGCTTACCATGGCCCCAATAACTGTAAATTCTGCTTTCTGTACTCACAGATAAAGCCCAATAGTGAACAGAGGGGAAAATCAGTTTTGTTCATTTTTGTCAATATTAGAAGAATTCTTCTTCCTTCCTTCCTTCCTTCCTTCCTTCCTTCCTTCCTTCCTTTCTTTCTTTTTTTTTTTTTTTTTTTTTGGAAAAGGGTTGGAAGTCTGCGTTCTATCGTTTTCTCTTTAAATTTACATCGTTCTCCAGCCCTGCTCTTTCTTCTGAATAGGGCTAGCTCCCCAGATCTTGATGCTAGACTTCCCAGTCAGCCCACTAGAGCCAGGCAGCAGGACATCTCACTGCCCTTCCTCCATTGGAAAAGCCAACTCCAGGAGAGAAGGCTGCCAGCGTGAAAGTGATTTTAAGGCATGGGAGCAGGGATCAACTGCCAGGACACCCTCTACTCATGGTAAACTCTTCCCGGTCTCCTCCAGGCTGTCCTCCTTTGGCATCTTAAAGTCCACAAGGGCTGATTCCCCTCAGGGAGTCCTGATTATGGCCCAGGGAGAAGCTGCTGGCAGTCAGTGCTGCGGCCCAGTGGGTGGGATGGGAAGGATCCTCAGGAAAGAGGTGCAAATCCCTCCTGCCTCGGGGCAATTTGTCCCCCCCCCCACCCCAGAGGTGGAGACCTAGCAGGGCACACGGGCGGAGCGGGGCAGCTGAGGCCAAGTTTGGATAGGCTGTAGCTGGACCGGTTGCTGATGATCAGCAGGGACTTGTGCTGGAAACACCACAGCGATCACTGTGGCGATCAGCTTCAGCAAGCACTAGAGAGGTGGCGCTGACCCGCAGGCCCAAGCCTCTCCCCGCTGGCATCCGCCCTGAGGCGCCCTGCCCAGAAAGTCCTGCACCACACTGGGGCGCTTCAGGGCGGATTTCTGCTGGAAACAAGACCTTTCTTTCCATTGCCACCACTAGGAGAGACATCAAGGACCCCACGTCCCAGGTTTCTGAACCCCTTGGGCTTGCTCAAGTCCCAGGAAAACCACGTAGAGCAAAACTAGCCAGCTCATGACCATAATCCGCGTTGCACCTCAACCTTTCCCCTCTTCTAACCAATCCTCATCGGGCGAGGAGCAGTTCCAACTATTGTCCACAGTCTGTCTTCTGGTCCCGTGTTCTCTCCAGCATATTCTGGCCCATGGTGCCGGGATCCCTATCTTTACCTAGTACTTCATTCTATCACTGAGTCCATGCCGCGGTGGTGGAGACCCGCCGCTGCCTCGGAAGCACCTTAGTCCTTACCTGGACTTTATTTGAAGTTGTGTGAGCCTTCCTCTCCTCAAGATACAAGGTCAAGGGCAGCGGGCTCAAAGGGAAAGAGGGACTGGGTCAAGGAAGGGAAAAAAAAGGAAGGCGAGCCAGAGTCACAGAAAAACAAAAACAAAACGCATGAAAGAGGCGCTGGCGCACCTGGAGACCCTCCCTGTACCACCCCCTTTGATTGAAGACGTGTGCTAGTAATGACTGCAGGACCCTGGCAACCCGAGAGGAGGATACACTGTGAAAACCGAAGTCCAGGCACCCCACGAAAATTTAATGGGACCACAGCAGGCGGTTCCCAAATATATACCCTTCTCAAGCCACTGGTTATTATATTAGAAAGCGGCAAGTGCCTAGTACGGTTACTGCAGAAGTGATGCGGGTGGGGTGGGGGTGGGGTGGGCTTTCCTGTGAACTAACACCAAACAGGAAAACTTGGTCCACAGGAAGAGCCTTGAAAACTGGGAGACAAAAACTCACATGAATATGAACATATATAAACATGCAAAAAAAAAAAACAAACAAACAAAAACAGAAGAAAGAGAAGAAGGAAAAGAAAAAGAAGGAAAAGTTAAGGAGGGGAGGTATGGAGAATCTGGGCTTAGAGAACATAAATACTTTACCCTCCCGTGAGCAACAAACCATCTATCACAATGCCTTCCCCCACCCCCTACTCACTGCTCTTTCCAAAAAGGCTTTGCATTATCCTACACTTGAGCAGAACATCGTTAGGAATATTTGGAAACGAGAAAAATCTGTCATTCTCACAAAAAAAGGGACAAAAATCGCACAAAAAATGCACTTGACCAGGAATATAGGTCTTTTTTTTTTCCCTTTTCAGAGGGCTGAGCAGAGGGGGGGGGGACTGAAGTTGTGCGTGAGGCGGTAAAGGTGACGCTGAGGATGGAGCATCAATTCAAGAGGGGTTCTGTGCACTCTCTCGACACATTTTTCCTTGGTTGTAAACTTCACAGTCTGACATCCATGCCTAGCTTGCACGCACTGCCCTTCTTGTGAATGAAAGAATGTATTTTGCTAACTGGATTGAGGTGTGGAAATAGTTCACTGGAAGAAAAAGTCAGAAGACTGAGCACAATTAAAACCTCCCAACACCCTTGCAAAGAAATAAATTTGGTCTTAGCCCACTCATTCAGGGGAGATTTTTGTTATGCTAAAAATGAGGAGCCTCTGAATAAAAATGTAATACAATTAGCACTACTTAGGAGGCTGCTGGCCCTGGATCCAAACGAACCAACTTGCGGTTAATTATTAAATTCTGCTCTTTAAAATAAAATGAAACCGGGAAGAACTTTGACACTGTCCATAAATATAAAAGATCTGCCTTCATTTGAGAGGTAGACTTTGTTACAGAACAGGAGAGAGGCAAAGATTCTGCCTGCTTCCAACTCAGACACTGGCTTCATTCCCCCCTCCCCCGGGGTCGTGGACTCAAGGTAGAAGTTAGAAGTCAAGTTGTTCATATAAAGCACTTGTATCAACGGGATTCTTGGCAGACATGGGATCAAAATAGAACAACACGAACAGCTGAATTTTCCAAAATGGAAGGCTATTATTCTACGATCCGATCCGAAGGACACCCAATTCCAGACGAACCAAGATGACCTTGGGCATATGGGAGTGCTGTGGCGGCGAGACGTTTAGAGAAGGGGAAAGGGGGCCAGCTAGATCGAATAATCTTGGTGGGAGAGGGGTGCGGGAGATCTTCAAGAGTTAAAGAAACTCCAGGGCGAGAGGCTCCCACACCAGTAAAACAGAGTAGCCTCCAAAGCACTGGAGTCCCACCTCGATGTTCCTTGCGCTTCTCCCACTTCACACCCTCTCTTAGCCTGTCCCCTTGTGGCACCCCCTCCCCATTTCACACCTGTTTCAACGAGGGATTTTATGTAAGCAGTTGTGTGTGTTTATTAGTGTTTACAGTCAACACTATATAAATCACAACAGTAAAAGGAAATGAAAGCCCGGCGTGGAACTTTTTTTCTTAACTCTCCCGTGAAGTTTACTCGGAAAGGTTTCCAGTCTATTCTCACCTCACCTTATAACAAGCCACTGGTGTGCTCTGGATGTCCTATGTGAACACAAGCTCGAGCCCTTTTTTAGGTTGGCCGCGCTCAAATATTTACCCTCCACAGCCTCAGCAATTCATCACACAATGAAGCACTCCTCTGCGCCCTGAGCGGCCACAGAAGCATGGGAAGGACATCCACCCTTTGAGGCACTCTCCACCCACGGACTCTACTCAATCCCACCCACACTCAACCGCGAAGGTTCCACTAGGGCTCCAAAGGTTTCACAGTCAGCTTCTCCAGTCCTGCAGTCTTGTTTGGCCAGTTGACAGCACTCTTTAAAGTGGACTGATTTGAACTAATGAATCCTTGCACCCAGCTAGTTGGGAGGGTAAGTTTCATCATTTAGACCTTCCAGGGGACAAAAACATTTTCTGGTCCAAAGTTTACAGCTTGGATCCAATCAGAACTTCTCCCCTCCGTAATTCTACCCAGCTTCCAACACACCATGCTGGGACCTTAGAATGAAGCCCAGCAGGTGAAAGGGCACCTAGGACTCCTCCTGACAGTCTAGCAGTGCGAGGAAGCACCCAGCAGATCTCTGTGGTAGCGCCTGGACTGAGCACAGTGAGGTCTCACACTTCTCCTTCACCCCTTACTAACGATTAGTGGTGTGGAAGATCCTTAAGGTGGGAAGCATCAGGTAGACTGGTCAGGTCAGGCAACAACTAGTGAGCCACCGGAATGTCTGCGCTGCTTTCAGGCAAATGCAGCCATGCCCCCGCCCAACGTTTGGCCCAGCTTGCTGGTGCACGCCGCCGCTATGCACTCAGGGGACAAAACACAGTCAAACGGTATTGACAACACGCAGACTAGGTGCACACCAACACACCCAAGGACAGGCTCCGCCAATATGAGATGGAGGGGACAGGAAAAAGCAAACCGAACAAGGGCCCCTTTCCTTCATAGCACCTTTACCTAAACGTCGCAGTGTGTGTCCAAGCTGCTGCTGCTCCACTAAAAATTATGGCAATGCAGGAACCGTGGGTGCGCGCGGGTGGGCCGGGTGGGGAGCCTCCCTTTCTGGGTCCCGTCGTTTTTATTTAGGGAGCGGGAGGGGGAGGAGGGACGGCTGGGGGAGGGAGGAATCCCAAATTAAAATAACCCCCAGATAAGAGGACGTTTGGTGGCATCGGGTATTCACACCAGCAAGTCTCATTACATTCGCCTTCGCCAGATGGCGGCGGGTTCAACTTCCCGGGATCTCGCAAAGTCAGGCTGTGCGCCCAAGCGCGCGCCGCAGTGTGGGCAAGCGGGCGACCCGGGACAGCCGGGAGCTCAGCTGCGCGGGCCGGGGACCGGGACAGGGTCACGCGCCGGGCTCACCGGTTCCGGACGAGGAGGTCTCCGTCCCCGGGGAGCGGCACTGGGCAGTCCCGGCGCAGGGTGACGGCCTCGCTGAAGTTAGGGCTCAGCCGGGTCACCACCAGCTTCTGCATGGCTCGGGGGATGGCGGAGCCCTGGAAGTCCAGGAAGTGACGGGCGTACGACATGTCCACGATGGCTCGGGCCCCGGCTGCCGTCAGCCTCAGCATAGCCCGCGATCGGCTCCGCCCGCTCCTGCGCCTACGCTGGCCCGGGTCGCGCCCAGTCCCGGCCGCTTGGCTCGGCTCCGATCCGCGCGGGCGGGCCCGCCCCTCCTCCGGCCCGCGCCCTCCCCTAGGCTCCCGCCCTCCCCTCACCGCCTGGCTCCCGCCCCCGCCCTCCGGCCCCGCCGCGCGCCGCAGCCCCCGCGAAACCCGGGCGCGCCACCCCAGGATCTCTTCCCGGCCCCGCGGCCGCCGCAGCCGCTGCTCCTTTAATCTTTTTGTTTTGGTTTGAATCCGCTCGGCTCACTCTGGCCTAGGATCTCCTCCGCCCTCCCCTTTCCTCCGGGCGCGGGAGAGGCCCCGGATATCCCCACCCTCCCCACGCTCTGCGACAGGATTTGATTCCTCCACCGGGGGCGGGGGGCGCCAAGCTAGAGGGCCAGCGCCCTGGCGATCGCCGCCGCCGTAGCCTAAGCGTCCCCGAGCGGCACGGCGCCCGGCGCCCGGCGCAGGCGCCTCCCCTTCCCGTGCGAAGCGTTCACTTCCTTGCAAGGTGGTACGAATCAACCCCGAGCGCGGCCGGGGCGGCAGGGCACGGCCGGGTCCCGGGCCTGGGCCCCGGTCGCTGGTGCACGCGCACCAGCACCTTCCTGCTGGCCAAGGGCGCTCAGTGCACCATGCATCCCCGGCCTAGGCCTCCCGGGCTCTGAGCGCATAGCTCGCGCCTATGCTCTCTCAGTCTGTCCCGTGCAAGTTGCAGGAACTAAGCCATTTTATTTATCTTGGCCTAGATTTCGTGTTTTTCCATCGATGTTTTAAGTAGCTCCACAATACTGTTACAGTTTTCCCAGTGGGAGAGAACACACATACAGAACTAGATGGCCGAATTCCCAGAGCGCAGAAGGATTTTAAAGTTCTAGGTGGGGCCGCGGAGGGGTTTAGCGGAATTGGAGACTTTGTAATGATCTATGAAGGCTTCGTTTTCTCACTTATCTAGAAAGATCTGTCTTTCTATCATGCCATATATTTTTTTTAGCGAATTGTGTTTATTGACCAAATAATTCGCCTTTTTAAAAATAGGGGCCACATTAAATATCTCTGGGCATTTTGTGATGAGGGAAGTCCATCTTTACGTTTATATTTTAGCTGTGCATTTTTAATTTAAAAATAACTCCTGTTTT